ATCGGACCTTAAGAATTTACTTTATAGCTATTTTAGTACTTTTTACGAGATTGTGTATATTACGTAATGGTTTACACACTATTTTCAAAGCCTTAAAACAAAAGGTGCTGGACGTTGGCGGATAATTTTACAAAAGTATCTGGTTGTTAACAGCCTATATTTATTGCTCGTAAAAATATTTTAACTCGACAAGACCATATTTGTCAAGAAAAACATTATTGTCTTATAATTTTATGTCAAAATTTAAACTCAAATAGGCCATCGTAAAAACGCACTATATTATGCACATTACAAAAATTTAAAATAACTTTATTTAAAATTTAGTACATACCTTCCTCTTTTATAATTAGAAGTTTATTTTTTTTTAAACTAAACAATATGTTAACAATAGCTAGAGCAACAAATGTCTCAAATTTTCGAATTAAAAAAAAAAAAAAAAATCAAACAACAACGCCACGTTCTGAATGAAAATCTGACAAAATGAAAAAGCGAGAAGAATTTTTTAAAACGTAATCAAATGAAGCAATTATCTAGCTTAAAAATTAAAAAATTAATAGGATTTTTATGCTAACTTTTTTTTTTCACTTTTGAGCGATTTTGTTATGCAAATACTCCACTGTGCGACGGCTAGTTTATAAAAATGACTCCTTGTTCTTAAACTATACTTAGATCTTTGATACGCTGGTGTGGTTTATGGCGCCACAAAGTTGATTGAATCAGTTCCATTAATTATTTTATAATGCTGGATAAGATCCGTACGCGGTGGTTTTGAGTGCTCTTTGTTTTTCATTTTGCCCATGTGCATAACTTTGCATTTTTAAATGTTAAATGGCATAAGCCATTTTTTAGACAAATTTACAGCTGCGTCAAGATTTTTTTTCAGACTTGATAATACTTATGAGTCAAAATTAAGTTCGGTAAATCGTTAATGTAGAGTAAGGTGTCCTAAAAACATACTTTTTTAAAATTTCAATGTGCTCTCCACTGATCCCCATTCTATAGGTCCTAAATAGTTACCAAAATCTTTTATTTTTATTTTTTAATGAATAGAAGTGATAGATGTAAATTCTGAGTTTTACGGTATTGTACACATGTGTATTTACATAAAAAACAGCGCTAACTAGTATTTCAATAGGTTTTAATGCGACGTAATAATTGGTACACAAATAATTCCCATAGGACATTATTAAAGAATATGATCATTCCCTATGAACATTGTTAGCGATTGATATAATTTCCTTTGGACAATATTATTAGTTGGTATAATTCCTCATGGATTGGTTCACAAAAAACTCCATTTAAAAATTTTTTTGAAGGAAAAAATTTCTAAATGGAATTATTTGTGCACGAAGGAATTCTAATTTGTGCACAAAGAAATTCTTGTGTAAACGGTTATAAAAGCCTTAACGGTAAACTTAGTTAAAATATGATATGAGAGGGAATAACGACTTCATAGATTTTTAATGCAAGTGTAAAATTTAGTATAAACTTAGTTAAAAAAGTGATTATTTCGAAATTCATATAAAAATGGGTAGAACAGCTAAAAAAAAAAGATGATAGGACAGAATAAGAAAAAGCGGAAAAATACAGAAAGGTTGAGGTATATTTACCTATTGAAGTACCCACTGAGGGATTTACCTCAGATTCAGCTTCCATCTAATGATAATATTCTAAGATACTATCAATTAAATAACACTTTTTTAGTAGTGAGATTTTTCCGATTTAAAGTAACTTAAGGAAGTAATAGCATATTATTTCCTTTAAAATATTTACGTTTAACTCATTCCATGGTTTGGCTATCTTCCAGAAAAAACTAGAACAATTATTAATTTATTTATAAATGTTTTAATAGAATTAACTATTTCTTAGTTTTTATAAAGACCAAAAGTTGTATAGGAAAGGATATATGGGAACAAACGTTGACAAAGACTACAGTAGGAGAGTACTGGATGCAAACAGGAGAAAGAACAAGATAAGTTGAGAGAGAAAGAATTAGAGAGACAGAAAAGCGTAAAAGATATCAATGATGTTTTGTTGTCACATGACTCCATGACAAAAGAGATTCAATTCAGCAGTGAAGAAGAAAAGCCAAAAGAGGACTCTGAAATCAGCGAGAAAGAAAATTTCCTGGGTAACGGTCGGAAACGCAGGTATAGTATTATTTTAATAACATAGTTGTAATTTTCACAAGCTAAAACCGTTTTATTGAAAAGTATATAATTATAAATAGGTAGAAAAATATTATAAAATGATATCTAGGTACAATTCTGGAGAGAGAATAAATCTAGCAGTAAATGTTGAAAAGTGAATGTATTGCTATTCCAGCAACAAGGTTCAATGTTGGTGTACGACCTCATCTGGCTATTTTAAGTGAAGTATTCAAAGCTGGAGGTATAGAAATTAATGATATACCGCTTTTACGAAGCACACTTCATAGAAAAAAGTTCAAATATGTAGAACTTGAAAAAGACTTGGAGTGGATTTCAATAACTAATTATCTTAAAGGCCGACGGCTTATTCTTCATTTTGATACCAAACTGTTGGAACAAATTACCACTGGGCTTAAAATTATTCAAAAAATTGAGCAACTTGCAGTCTCAGTGAGTTGGATGACAATACCATGAAAGACCATCTTTTAGGTGTTGTTCAATGTTCCTCTTCAAAGGGAATTGACCAAGCAGAACAAGTGTACAATCTTTTAGAATATTACGGATGTAAAGAGCAGATCATTGGCATATACTGTGTTACAACTGCAAGCAATACAGGCAGAGTCAATGGAACAGTCCAAATTCTAACAGATATTTTAAAAATACCAATTTTATGGATAATGTGTAGGAGACACATATATGAAGTACATGTATCTTCCTATATGGCTGCTCTTACTGGTGAGAAAACTAATGGTCCAAGAAGAGCTCTTTATGTCAAGCTAAAGAACAAGTGGACTGAAATATGTGAGAAAATTAATGAAGTGAAAAATTTATGTAAACTGAACTGGCAAAGAGATGATCTGAAGATTGGCTTTGTTCTTCGTACTGTTGCAGAGGAAGCTAAGACATTTTTGACTAATGCAACTACTTAGTGGCGGATTAAGACTTCTTGGGGCCCGGGTCTTTATTTGTTTTTGGAGGCCTTGAGGCCTTTTTATGGGCCAGAGCCTAAAAATGATTGGAAAAAAAAAAAAAAAAAAAAAAGCTCTAAAATTTTTGGGGGCCCCTAAATTTGCGGGGCCCGGGGCTATAGTCCCCCAAGCCCCTCCTTGATCCGGTACTGCAACTACTGATATGATGTTTTCAAGGAATGACTATGGTATAGTTTGTAAGCTTGCCTCCTTCTTCCTTGGAGCGAAAGTACTAGATTTTAAGTTCCATCCTGCCATGAGGCAAGGTTTTTAGCAGATGCGATCTACATCCTGACTCTTTATATGACCAAAGATATCAGTAATATCTTGACATAAAAAGAAGTGCTGCAGTTGAGGGATGTTTGTTCATTGCAATTTGCTGTGTTCCATGGTTTTTGAAAAGTTTTTAGGATTTCTGGCTCCCTACAATAATTTGAAAGCTATCCAGACAGCCTATGCATTGAGAAAAGTCAATAAGAATATTGGAAATGCTTTACTTCTCAGCATGGGACGCCATACGTGGTACTTAACTCCGCAACTCTGTATTTTGTCCTTTGGGGATAAAGAAGTTCCTTCTGAAACAAAGCTAAGAATGCTGTTAGCTCTGATTGGGTATTATATTAGAAGCTACCTTCTCTTCAAACATTTTAAAATATCAAGAGCAAGTATAAAAGAATGGCTCAATAATAGTCTTAATACTATAGATGTTTTTAACTATCCTCAGTTGCTAGATTTTATTGCATGGATCAAAAACATATCTGTTGTAAATGATGGTGCAGAAAGAAACATTAAGCTCATTAAAGACCTTATTTCTGTTACTAGAGATGAAGATCACCTTCAAAATGTACTTTTTGTAGTTAAAAAGTCTAGAAAAAACTTGACTAAGAGTATGACTAAAAAGGAGCTTGGGAACTGTTCAAAAAGTTGCATTTTTTGAGAAATGTTTCACCGCAATAAAATCTTAAATTTGCTAATAAATATTAGTTTTAATGTATTTTTTTGTATTTTCATATTTATAAATATAATCTATATATATAAATATAATTAATGTTAAGCCAGCTTAACATTAAAACAGTAAAACTCAGATTTTACATCTAGCACTTCCTGTCAAAATAAAACCGTCAAATTTTTTTTAGTACTTATTTAGGTCACATAGAATGGGAATCAGTAGAGAGCTTTTTTTTTTTTTTTTTTTGGATATCCTAATGTTGAGCACAAAAAGAAGCGGGCCTAAAACCGAACCCTGAAACCCTGAGGTACTCCGCTAAACAATTTTTTCCAGGGCGATAACGTACTATTTTCCTTAATATTCGAATTTTCTTTTTATTATTTCCGAATTTTATTCTATTATTTTCCTTAAAATTCGAAATTAAAACATAAAATTTCTCGAGAAAGAATAAGTTAATTATTTAGAATGAATTAAAGATGACCCAGTATTATAAAACTGGGTTTTTAACTCAGCGGAAGTTACATAATAATAGAAAAGACTACTCCGTCCTAGTATACTAGTTTAGTCATCGCCTCTAGCGTGATAAAAATAATCATTTAAGAATTTTCTTTAGCTTGATAAAGCATCTTAAAAATGATCCCCAAAAATTTGGATATTTCTTTAATTAAAGATGCAACTTACCCATGAGGTTTTTTATTTAACTTTTTAATGATTTTTAATGACAATTTAACTAAATAATCATTGATATATATCCATTCATTATTAAAAGTTTTTTTTTGACATATTCCTCTATTAGTTAACTTAAAAAAGAAATGAAATTTAGGAGAAAAAAACATGCAAAATCTTAAACTATAGATAGACACTAATTATCCAATAAAACGTCATAGAATGATAAAATTAATTCTTAAAATAAAAATAAAACTAATTTTTTAAAAATATTACTTTGTATTTAAAGTTTATTAAATACAATGTTTAACAAAAATGATTAATATTGTGGACTACCCGGTCTAGGTACATAGCAGTTATCATCTTGAGGTCCGCATACTTCAATCCAGTTATCCTCAACTTTAGGTTTTGGCTGAATGCAACCATTTTTGTCTCCAAATATTCTAACTGGCAAGAAATATGCTGACTTTATTCCAGTCCTATATTGAAACCAAACATCAATATTTATAACTATACGAATTTATAGTATAAAAATACATAGAACAAATAATATATATATATATATATATATATATATATATATATATATATATATATATATATATATATATATATATATATATATATATATATATATATTAGGGTGATTCAGATTGTAATAGAAAAAAAAAAATGTCACAAAAAACATTCTCCTCAAGGTTGCCTGTGTTCCTTTATCACCTAGGATCATGTGTACCAAAAATTAGACTAAAAAAAGCAATTTTAGGGGTTGCCATGTTTTATAAGATGAATTAACCATTGGTAAAATTTTGTGATTTTCTCAAATTTCGCAAATTTGTTTTTTCATTGTTTATTTATTTATAATTTAGAAATTGATAATATGGCAACCACTAGATCTTCTGCTGAGGTGTGGCTTGTTGGTAAACCTACACAAACTCTGTCGACTGCCAGACTTCCTTCAAGAGGGGATGTTCTTCGGAGGTTGCTCTTCCATCATATAGAAGAGAAACAAGAAGTGAAAAAAAGTATTCGGGCAACAATTGAAGCAGTTCTTGTTATATGGGAGAGAGGAAAAATTCCAACTCAAAGAATTGACAATGCGGAAAGAAAGTTAAAAAAACTTTATGACGAATATCTGCTGCTGAAAAAACACCGAGGATCAAAATTGGACAGCTGTCAAATGAAAGAAGGAATTTTCCACGCTGACCTTGAAGAACTTTTTGATATTTCAACCAAGAATGCATCAGAAGTTATGAAAAACGATGAAGATAAAGCATTTTTACGTCAGCAGCAAGAAGATCCATTAAGTTGTAGTATGGCAGGAATTGATCGGAATTTAACAGCTAGGGAGGCACGGAAACGAGTCCGAGAAACTAAAATGGAATTGAGGCGTCAAAGAAGTCAAGCGGAACTGATGGAAAAAACAGAACTCATTTCTTCTTCATCAGCAGTTGACATTGTGAGTGAAAGTAGCTCTAGTTCCTCGGATGATGATGAATATCAGACTCCTTCCGCTTCCAGCACACTGAGCACAAGTGGTTCAACGAAAAAGAAGATGAAAGTTCTAACAAATAATGTTGTATCATCTCTTGATCGTGTAAATATTTCTGATCGCCATGCACTCTTCGTGGTTGGAGCAGTGTCTCAGGCCCTTGGTCACTCGGTAAAAGATTTATCATTGTCGTACAGCACAATCCGCAGAAAAAGGCGATCTGTTCGTGAAGCGGTGACTACAGCTGACAAGGTTGATTTCTCTCCTGATGATCCACTTCTTCTGCATTGGGATGGAAAGCTCTTACCTGATATCACTGGTGGTCAAAAAAAAGTGGATAGAATTGCCATCCTTGTGACTGGTGGTGGGGTGGAAAAATTGCTGGGCGTTCCAAAGATTGATCGAGGTACAGGTGAGCAACAGGCTGATGCTTGCATGAAGGCTCTTAAAGACTGGAAATTGAAAGAACTTGTTCGGGGACTGGTTTTTGACACTACTTCATCTAACACTGGGTTGAACATTGGTGCCTGCACAATAATGGAGCAGAATCTTGACCGTAATCTTATATGGATAGCATGCAGGCACCATATGTTTGAAGTCATGCTTTCCACCATTTTCACGACTGCATTTGGAACCAGTGGAGGACCTGAAGTTGGAATTTTTAACCGTTTCCAGAAACAATGGCCAGCAATCAACAAGGAGGTGTTCACTATAGGGAATAAAGAATTTTACAACTGCGATTTTTTTCTCAAACTCCGTGAAGAAATGGTAGTATATTATAGTGAAGCAATTAAAGGTCAACAACCCAGGGATGATTACTTAGAACTCTTGAATTTGTGCCTTATTTTTCTTGGAGGATCAACTACAACATCGGAGTTCAAAGTGAAGTTTCGGGCTCCAGGTGCAACACACAATGCACGTTGGATGGCAAAAGCTATATATTGTATAAAGATATATTTGTTTCAGGATCAATTTGTTATTACGGCAAAGGAAAAGAAAGGAATAACAGATATAAGTCTTTTTGTGGCATTTGTATACGGACAGTTTTTGAATGAAGCTCCGTTAGCTGAACGAGCACCATTCAATGATGCCAAGCTTCTTCAACGGATTCAAGAATATCCAAATCGTACAATTGCAATTAATGCAGCAAAAGCTTTTCATCGCCACCTCTGGTATTTTTCTGAACATCTAATAGGATTGGCTTTCTTCGATTCCCGTGTTGACAACAACACCAAGAGAGACATGGCAAACAACCTGAAACAACAGCCAAGGCAGAAATCTCTCAAAAGACTTGATGCTGCCACATTCGATTGTCACAGCCCATTGCCTTCCTTCGTCACACAACGCACCGCAGAACTTTTCGATCTAATTTTGAAAAATGGAAAAGAAAAAGCTGAATCATTTTTAATGAAAGAATCTTCAGAGTGGGAAATGGATTCAACATATCTTGAAATGAAGCACAAGGTTGGTCAAATGAAAGTCGTCAACGATTGCTCGAAACGAGGCATAGCACTTATAACATCCTTTAACTCAAGCGTTACGAAAGATGAAAACCAAAAGCAGTTTCTTCTTAGATTGGTTGATCTTCACCGGAAGGAATTTCCAGTTGCATCAAAGTCTACCCTGATGAAGATGACTGTTGAATGATGAAGATGATTGATTTATTATTGCCTAGTGCAATTACATAGTAGTCCTATAGTATTGATTTTTTTAACATTGAACATCCACAATCCACCACATAATAATAAGAAATTGATAATAAATAATTCAGTAATATAATATAAAAAATGTAAAAATAAAAAATATTTTTTTTACTTTTTGTAACCTTATACCAAAATGTGACAAAACATGGCAACCCCTAAATATCATCCGATTTGATTCAAATTTTGGCCAATAACTACTATTGTCATATAGAACAAGGGCAAGCTTGAGGACAACTAAAGTTTTGAACCTACAAATTTTGCATCACCCTAATATATATATATATATATATATATATATATATATATATATATATATATATATATATATATATATATATATATATATATATATATATATATATATATATATATATATATATATATATATATATATATATATATATTATGATCTTTAAACATATAACAAGTTCCTAAAATTATCAAAAAAACAAAATTCTTTAAAAGTGTATTATGTTGGGTCTCAAATGTAGCAAAATTTTTTTTTTAAGTCTTCGCTTCCACATGACTGCAAGCAACCACTATTAGAGTTGGAAGTTACTGGAAGTGAAAAGATAAAGATTGTAGAGCAAGATGACGATTGCCAGATGACTTAAAAGATTGCAAATTATTTAAATCAGGAAAGCAAGATGAAGGAAGCGAATTCCAAAGAACTGATGTTTGAGGAAACAAACAAGAGGAATAAGAGTTTTTGGAGCACTTAGGAACAATCACAGAGAAAGGATGAGACTTAATTAAATGACGAGTAACACGAGAATAATTTTTAGTAGATGGCACAAGAGACGCTAGCTCTTTAGAGCAGTGCCCATTATAGTATTTGTAGAAAAGAAAGTGTGAAGCAACATTACGATGATATGATAATGGTTGGAGGTTGGCTGCAAAAGCAGGTCCTTATCTAAAAGAGAAAAGACATCATTAGAAGATCGGCCCCAAATATGGCAACAGCATTCCATACAAGGATGAATTCGAGATTTAGAGAGATGAAGAATAGAATTCGGAGTAAGAAAGTGTCGAGCAAGATAAAGAGATGCAGCCTTGGCAGATGCTAATTTTGCAATAGATTTGACATATGGTTTCCAAGAAAGATCAGAAGTATAAATTAATCCTAGAAGATAAAGGGTAGATGACTCATCGAGTACATTACCATTCATAAATATAGGAAGATCTAAATTATTGCAATAACAATTGGCTGAAAAAAGTTGAGTTTGATCTGAATTAAAAATCACCAGCCACTGTGAGCCCCATGTTGAAGCAGAAATGAGATCCTTTTCAAGCTCAAATGCCTCCTCTAAGCAATCAGAGAGTGTTGACTTCTTATCATGACAAGAATAAATGGTAGTATCATCAGCAAACAATGCCACCTTAGATGTGAGAATATCTGGAAGATTCTTAATGTAATTTTAATAAGAGTATAAGGCCAAGGATTCAACCTTGAGGAACCCCTGAAGTTACAGGATATGAAGATGAGTGCTGACCATCGAAGACAAATTTTATACTACTATAAGACAAATTTTATTCAATAATCCTAAAGATGTTACCAGATACACCGTAAAAAAAAAGCTTATGGAGAAGACCAGCATGCCAAACTTTACCAAAAGCTTTAGAAATGTCAAGAGCAATAGCCTTAACCTCTCCACCTCAATAGAAATCCATATTGATGATCAGAAAGTAAGTTATTAGACTCAAGATGAGAGATTAAGTGTTTGTTAATTAAAGATTCAAAAACCTTGCTTATGATAGAAAAAAAACTAATGGGATAATATTTAGACAAATCAGATCGCTCTCCAGAATTTTTTAAAATAGGGATAACAGATGGTGCTTTCCAGCAGGCTGGAAAATAAGTCTCTGAAAAGCACTTGTTAAATAGTTTTGAAAGTATAGATGACAGCTCCGGATAACACTTCTAAAAGACTATAACAATACTGTTATCCGGACCACAAGCTGTAGAAGAGTCCAATTAGGAAATTGCTTTAGATAGAGAAGCTGGAGTGGTACGAATGTCAAGCAATAGATCAATTTGTTTGATGGTTATATCAGGTAGAACGCAATTAGTGGAATCAAGAGTTGATATCGATGAAAACAAACAATTCTTAGCAAACAATTCAGCTTTGCCTTCAGGTGAGGGGACAAAGTCTGAACCATACAAGAGAGGTGGAATAACAGATTTGCCTTTATTATTGATACTATTAAAGATTCTCCACAAGTCACAAAAACTTAATTTTTGGGATGAAATACAAGATTTCAAGACCTGAGAATAGCGGGCTTTGGCATAAGACAAAACTTTTTTACAATGGCTTCAAGCAGTAATAAACAGACGTCTGTTTTCTAGATAATTGTTTTGCTGATAGATAAGGAAGTAATGGTTTCAATTGGAAACTGCAGCAGCACAATGCGAGGAAAATAATGGTGAAGAGTGAGGCTTGACCTAGAATTGTTGAGAAAGAATAAGAAATTCCAGCCAGCCTGAATCCATGAAGTTATATAAGAAGCACATTTGTCAGCAGAAAAACAAAAGAATTCTTCCCAAGGGCCATCACAAACAAAGAGTCCCAGTCAGCTTTAAGGTAGTTGTAAGAGGTACAATGATAATAGTGAGATATTAGTTTTAGAAAGATCAAACCGTAATCAGAAGCACCTAAGGGTGAATGTGGAGAAACTGAGCACTGACTAGGATTAGAAACAAGACAAAAGTTAAGTAGAGAAGGTAATAAATTCGGCTTGTCTAGAAAGAGAGTTGGAAAGATGACTATTTGGAATTGGCAAAGGCAAAAGTTGTGGGCTTAAACGCCTGCAGAGTCACTAACACTAGAGCCAAGCCATTCAGTGTGATGAGCATTAAAGTCAACAACAACAATATTGGCTGATGGATAAAAAAAGAGGGCTTGTTCAATTTGATCAGAAATAACATCAAAAAGAGTGCAGTCTTGAGATGAAGTAGAGCAATATAGAACAAAGAGAAAGGCAATAGAGTGAATAAAAAATAGTCTATGGATTCAAACCTAGTTTTCTGACAAATGGGTGAATTCTTATGAATGTAAATGCCCAGGCCAAATATTGGAAAAAAAATAAAAGGAAGATTACAATCAACATTAAGATCACAAGATGAGACAGCCAAACTCAAATTAGTCTCACAAAAAGCAAGTAGGTCTGGTGCACTATGCAAGAGATAAGACTCAACAGAAGAAAAGTTACTTCGAAGACCACAAATATTAGTGAATGATAGATTTAGAGAACTTGGTGATGATGATAGTTTTTTGTGTTTTATAGTTTTTGGCACTTTAGTCATTTTTAAATTTGTTAAAGAACTTGACTCAAAGCATAGACAGTACTCAGTACACTATTTAATAGCCCAAGCAATTGCCTCATTACTATTATAAATCCTAAGCCGTAACAAAGAGCTCCAAATGTGGTCTCGACAATTCACACCAAAAGTACAAACAGGGACACTATCCATGCGCAACGTGGCACTGTGAGTACTCTGATGTTTTACAGGTGTTGATGGAAGCCTCTCTGAGAGCTACTACAAAGTTTGGGAAACCTGACTACCAGCCAGCCTCGGAACCATAAAACTGAGTTTTAGAGCTATACCCTCATTAGGAGATAATAGAATGAGTTGCCTTGTCATAAAAACAGAAACAGAAGCAAAACTCATGCATTAAGTCAAGAAGATCCAGAATTCAACATAATTATCATTTTTGAAATTTTCATATGTTCATATTCATATTTTCATATATGGTTCATTTGAGACCTAACATTATACTTTTAAAGAAAGTACCATAGAGTCTTATCTGCTGTGCAGACCCATAGAGCCTCAAAAGTCATATTTTGCGCCCTTTTTTAAGTCCATTTTTGGCACATTTGGGCAAGTTCGAAAACTCAAAATAAATTTTTTTTTCATTCAAGAGTTTGTACTTAGGTAGAACCAAATAAAAAGGCATGGTAATTATATTTACGGAAAATATTATATATAAGTCTGTCTACAAAATCAATAATTTATGCGATTTTTTCCAATTAATGCGCATTACGATAACTTTTCATATATTTTTCAAGTTTTTTGAAAGAAGCACCACATATATGTAGCATAAAACAAAATCTGTTTCTTCTCTTCAGTTCTAGCAACATTAATGCTCTCCTCTATGAGCTTAACAGTTTTTATTTTTAATTCATCTTTTTATTTTAGGTGCATAAATACTCCAGGAAGTCCAAATGGTCTAATCACAGAGCACAGCAGAAGAACATTTAACAGAAAATTCACGTTTTCTTCTTTACTGATGTAGTAAAACTTGCCTAAAGCTGGCTTTAAAATACGGATATCTTGTTTCTTGCGCAATAGCCCTTCTACTGTGCCACGGCTGCAGTTCTTTCAGAGCAATCATTAATAACAGCAAGATGAAAAATAGCATCCTGAAATTATAGGTAGAAATGCTTGCAATTGCATTATTTGGAGGCAGAGGGAAGCCGGTTCATCCAATGACAGCCACTTTTACTTAGGCCTATCATAAGCAGAGTTGTTAGTCTTTGGCTTTGGCCTCGGTCTTGCCTTAAGGCCAAAAATTAAGGCCTTGGTCTTGAAACTGTTGGCCTTACCCTTGAAGATTTTGGCCTTGGCCTTGAAAATTTTGGCCCTGGCCTTGAATGTTTTGGCCTTAACCTTCAAAAAAACAACAACATAAAATTAAAGAATTAAAAGTTTTCAATCTTTATTTTTAAGTATTTTTGTTTTCGGCTGTCATATATATCTACAAGTATATTTTCTAATCGACTTCTGCACATAACCTTAGTTTATTTTTATAAAATGTGGTTTTATTGTCACAGCAATTGTTACCTACAGTTTGTTAATAATTAGCCTTAACATAAGGCAAAAATTTAAATCTTTGGTCTTGAAAATTTTTGCACAGGCTTTGACCTTGAAACAATATTCTTGGACTTGACCTTAAAACTCTTGGACTTGGCCTTGTCCTTGGCCTTGTAACTTTTGGCCTTGGCCTTCTAAAATGTGGCCTTGACCTTGGACTAGCTTCTTTTGGCCTAGTTAACAACTCTGATCATAATGAAAAAGAACAAAAAATTTTCTGTGACTAACTGAACAAAGCTTAGTGGCTTTGATCCACTGAAATCTATAAAATTGAGGACCTCAAATTAGCTCTCATTTAGGCTGATGGATATTTGCCAATATTATGCTTTATTAATTATCAGATTCATTTTTTTCATACTGAAATCCTTGTATACTATATTTATGCATATCATATTTTTAAAGTTGATACTTACCTGATATGGAGTAATAGAGGATAGTTCAGCTTTAAGAAACCAGTAGTTTAGAAGGAAGTTGCAAAAATTGCCACTACATTAATCTCATAAGATTTGCTATTTCACCCATCAAAAGCTGAAGCTTTAGGTAATAGATACCAAAAATGATTTTATCACATATACTAATTTATTAAAAAGCTAAGTATTTGTTAATGTGCATCAAAATCCTTCCTTTTGCCATAAAGCTACAATTCTCTACCTTTTTCTATGTAGCGAGCATGGTGGACTGCTAGAGAGTACAAAACTTGTACTTGCTCTCAGAAAGCACAAAAATGTAAGCTTAACGTAGTTCTGTAATCCTATCAAAAAATGAAAGTAAATCAGAATAAATCGGTATAATTAACAATACATAAGTATGTATACTTTTTTTGTAAAAAAGAGTATTACTTTTTGTTTCACAAAAAATTTATATATTAATGTATATTTAATATGTGCTATGTAGCAATTACTATAGAATCAAGCAATCAACAAATTCTATAGAACTTGTTGTTTGCCAGAAAACAAGAAAAATTCTTATAGAGAATAAATTGCTACAAATTAAATACATAATAAGTACCGACAAGTTCAGATATCCAGCTATTGAGCTACATTTTTAGAGAACCACTGCTGATAATATTTTGATAAAGTTTCCACAGGAATCAATAAGCTTCGTAACACCATTTTAATCAAAATTTAAAAGAAATTTGGGTACAAAAATGAAAAAAGTATGTATATACTAGAGAAAAATAGTATTTTGCAAAAATGGTAACCGATAATGTAAAAACCTACATAGTTTTCTTTATCAAGATCATTCCATGTTTATTTTACATTAAGATCATACTTTGCTGTTCACTCATGATTTCTGGACCCTTGCCTTATTATGCTATAGTCCTAGCTGATGAAAAATGTGAAGAAAAAATATCTATCAGCCCAAATGAGAACCAACATTAAGGTCCTCAGTTTTTAAGATTTCACAAAATTTTTTTTTTTCCAACCTATCATACATATATAACCTATCATATATATCATAACAACCTAATCATAAGAAACTTGTGTTTCTTATAATAGGTTGAAGTAAAAGTGACTGTCAATGGATGAATTTTCATCCTTTAAATATTGCACCTGCAATGATTTCTACCTAAGACTTCAGGATGCTGTTTTTCATCTTGCTGTTGTTAACAGCAACAACAACAACAGCAACAACTTTTTACAATAGTATTAATAAAACAACTCATTTTTAAAATAGTATTAATAAAAATAAATTAACGATATTTCAAAATAAAAAAAAACTATAAATAAAATATGGGTTTGCGCAGCAGATAAGACTCCATGGTACTTTAAATTTTTTCATGACATCAAAATGAAGCAGTCTAATATATATATATATATATATATATATATACATATATATATATATATACATATATATATATATATATATATATATATATATATATATATATATATATATATATATATATATATATATATATATATATATATATATATATATATATATATATATATATATATATATATATATATATCAGTTGATAATGAACAACCAAGCTTTTCAGATATTTCTCTTTGAATTAAACCTTGTTCATATAATGCAGCAATAATTCCTCTTTTTTTAGGTGAAAGTCCTGGCTATTTATCAGCTATATTAAATAGCTGATAAATTGCTTATGAATAATAAAAAATGATAATAAATTGCGCAATATACAAATATGTAACTATAAACATATTGCTATGTAAAAACAAAAGCATCAAACCTTTAAAATTTATACTTTAGATCAAAAATAAATTTTTTTGGTTGTTAAAGACTTTTGGCCACCACTGTATTTATGTATATGTATACATACATTTTGTATTTTAATACTTACTTAGTAAGTTGCACTTTAAAGAGCTCTGTGTAGCTAGCCGGACCTCTAGACTGTCTTGATAATTCTGTTGCTTTGGCATGAATTTCTTTACTATTATTTTGACCAGCAAGTGTCTGAATTAAATATAAAAATTAATATTAAAAAAAAAATAAACATTACAATGTGTTAAATTTAAGTAGAAAACAAAAAAAAAACTTTTTCTAATGAGTTTTGGTTTAATGAACTAAATCATAAACTTTATATAATTTTCTATAAATATATATCTTTTTTATGGATTTATATTTTAGGTGTACTTTATTGACAAAATTTTTTTTTTTTTTTAAATTATTATAATTCTAAAAATATAAAAAATGTTTTCCATATAGCCTAATAAATATTTCTTTCCATATTTAGATTTAGACTAATTTCCACTAACTTAGTACCTAGTTTTAATAAAGAAAGTATAGCTTTTAATAAAGAAAACTTAATCAGGAATTAAGTATGAAAATATTGTTTCAATAGAAAAAATAAATAATAAAAAATACATAGAAAATCAAAATAAAACTTATTTAAATTTTTTAGTTTACACATTTTAGTTTAATCATTTTAATTTCTTTCAAGTTAAAATTATAAAGACTTTTTAATTTTGATTGTAAAATCATTTGGAAATTTTGTTCAAACTTTTGAGGTTTTGTGCCACATGGAGAATTTATACATTTGATTATAATTTGATTTATAAAACTATTATTTAAGAAATAAACAACTTAAAAAAATTATATCAACCATTTTCTTTTTATTTAAAACAGATTACTGTCTGTAACACATTGAAAAATAAATTCATTTTACTAGAACACCACCAAAAAATAAAATAATAAAAAAGATTGAAAATCAATTTAATAAAACTATATTGTTTAAACTAATGTACTATTTAAAAACATTTAGTTACAAAAGCTTTCTTACACCCATAAACGTGAAATGTGGATGAAAAACAAGATTTCCCAAACTATAATGAACAAGCGTATTGTTCAGCCACTCATGTCCTTGCATTACATGTGGGTGGCTACCAATGATTAAATTTACACCCAATTGACTAAGATAAATTGCCAAATTTCTTTGTGTTTCTTTTGGAATAGCAAAGTATTCTGTTCCCCAGTGTAAAAATGTTACAATAATATCCACTTTACTCTTAAAAAAAAAAAAAAGAGATTAAAAATAGACAGTTGAAGCATAAATTAAATAAAAAATTTAAAATATATCATTTAAAAAATAGAGATCACTCTCACTAAAAACAGAATTAGCACATTGCTAATTTTTTTAACAATAAAACCTCTACAATAATATTAGATAAACACAGAGCTTTTAAAAGAATTATACAAAATAAAAAATTTAAGTTATAAAAATGAAAACAATGAGGCCATTAATTTAAACATAAGATAACTGTGAAACTACTTACTAAAGTATTAATGACAAAATTAAATTTTAAATCTTAGATAAATACAGCGTTGTAAATGAGAATTACATCGGTTTTTATAAAAGCTATTTAAAGAAACTTTTTCACTAAAGAACAACATAAAAAAATTTATTCCAATGGTTCTCTATATGTGCAAAAATATAGTTCGCTTAAAATGCGTAAAAATTTATGAATATTTAACTAAAAGAAACTATGAAAATAGATGTTACAAAAATATTTGTTAATAATATTGAAATCTTTAAGTATAATCTGATAATTATTTCAATTTGGTACATTTAATTCACATTTTTTGGTAAATATTATGGACAAAAGAAACAACTATATTAATAAAATCAATGGCAATTCATTGATAATGAATTCAATGACAATTCATTAATGGCAACCTTTATTTTATAAAAAATACTTGATGATATTTTTGCGTCTTTCCACTTAAAAACAAATATTGTCATTTTTCTTGATTAAAATGATGATGCAAGCATTAACAATAATGGTATTTTGCCATTTTTAGATGTATGCATTAAAGCCAAGAAATAGCCAAGAATTGATCACAAGCATTTACTATGAAAAAACTTATTCTGGTTTATTAACTAGTGTTTATCAATTACTTTTAAACTTTAGATTTAGCAACTATAGATTTTTCTTACAATTTTAACAATTCTTGTAGTGTTGTTGTTATGGGAGATACTATGCTATTATTACTAATACTATAAATAAATAAATAAATACACGGGTTTACCCACAGCTACTGTGTTTTGCCCAAATAAAGGGTAAGCTGGCAAAACACTTGCTCAGCTTTGCAATAAATTATTATATTACTTTATAATTTTTAATATTCTAGAGTTTTCTGATGGAATAGTTTACCATTACACCATTACCATTTCACCATTAAATATGATTTTAGTTTTTTCTTATAAATAGATGTGTTTTTTGAATAATATTTCAAAGTCTAGGACCATAGTGGTACCGCCCGATCACTAAAACGACTGCTGGATTTTGTTTCTTTTAATTTCAGAGTTCACTCTGATGTTGAGAAGTGAATCAAATTACACAATGATGCTGGCGCCTCCTAGATAAGAGACTTGTGCATTATTAATAAAACATTGAAATAAATTCTTTCTCTAATTTTAAGCCAATGCAAATTGATAAATACCTGGTCATTTATTTGATTTTCTATTCTGGTTTTAAATACTAGTCTTGCTGCACAATATTGAACAGACTGCAGTTTTTTTAATAGTGACCTTTCAATTCCAAAGTAGAGGGAGTTGCAATAATCTAGCTGTGAAAAAATTAATGAACATACTATGGTGCACAAATCTTTATGCGATAAGAATTATTTTATTTTGGATAATTTGCTGATTATGTTGTAATAACTTTTCACAATCTTTTTTATCTGTGTTTTCAAAGACACTTCATTGTCAAGTATCACCCCCAAACTTTTTGAGGAGTCAACAAATCTAATGCATTCCTTGTTAAGAAAAGTACCTTTAATAATAAAATCTTTTTGAATGTTAGGTGGTGCCATAATTAGTATTTTTATTTTCGATTGGTTAATGTGTAAGAATGATTCGCTCATCCATTTAGATATGTGTCCAAGACATTCTGGTATATCCAGAACTAATGCATTATATTGCAAAGAAGGAAGGAATGCTTTGAGATTTTGATGATTATCTGAGTATCCAAAAGTTTTAACATTGATTATATTCAGATGTACAAACGTACAGTGGTCTCATATAGATATTAAACAGTTTTGAACCCAGTAGTACAGTACTGGGTCCAAAACTGTTTAATATCTATATGAGACCACTGTACAAACACTGTACTTGCGGTGCTCCATATTTGACATTTTGGTTTGTACGGTATGAGTTACCAATTTTAACATTTTGGGTACGATTAACTAAAAATGATTCAAACCACTTGTGAGCTGAGTCCATTATGCCTATTTCACTAGTTAATAGCCCAAGTAGTTTTTGTTGATCAATAGTGTCAAAAGCAGCACTTAGATCAAGTAACATAAGTACTGAAGGTGTATTCTTATCAAAGAGTTCAAATATATCATTGGTAAGCTTCAGTAAAAGTGTTGCAGTGGAATGATGTTTTTTGTATCCATATTGATATTCTATATGAAGATTGTTTGTTGTCATGTGGGAATCTAGACGATTGGAAACTACTCTTTCTATTAGCTTGCTAATGAATACTAAATTGGAAACTGGTCTATAATTTTTGAAGTTTTCTGTGTCTAACTTCTTCATTATTGGAAGTAATGTAGCACTTTTTAGACAATCTATGCTGCTTGATTCTAGCGATAGGTTTACTATTTCCACCCATATATGTATAAATGTTTGTAAATTATTCTTTAGTAGATATGCTGGAATCGGATCATCTGGAGAACATTTTATTCCAAATGACATGGCTATATTGTAAATTTCTTTGTAAAATGTTGGATCTAAATTTCTTTGTAAAATGTTGGATCAAAATTTCTTAAAAACTGACCATTATAATCTGATGCGCTTTTCTTTGTTTGGGGTGTTAGAAGATTTGATCTGAGTTTTCTGATTTTTTCAGTAAAATAACTGTTGAAGTTGTTAGCCAGTTCTTCGCCTGAATTCGCTGATGGTAGTACATGTTCCTGAGTTTTATCTAGTAGCTTGTTTACCATTGAGAATAGATTTTTACTTGAGATGTTTTTATGTAATAGGTTAGAGAAATAAAAGTTCCTTTTTTTTATATAAGCAGTAATAGTTATTTTTTTTCTAAGACGTATATATTCTTTTTTGTCACTTTCAATTTTGGTTCTTTTAAATAATTTTCTGCTTTTCTTCGTTTTTGCCTTAGTTGCATATATTCCCCATTAAACCAAGGAGCTGTATTCACTATTTTACTATTTTAGTTTTCAAAGGAGCATGTTTCTGTACAATTTCTTTCATTACTTGATTATATATTGTTATTTTCTTTTTCATATTTTCAGCGGATGAGATTTTCCATTTATTTTTTAATATTTCATTGTTGAAAGACTTCATGTCTACTGTTTTTAAATTCCTGTATGTGATTGTGTGGTATGTGTTTTTTCTATTTTTTGTTCTAATTTAAAATCAATGAGTAAATGGCTACTCAAATCTAAGTTTGTCACAGCTAGCATATAAACTAATATTTCATCTGGCTTATTAATTACTACATCTAATATGCGTCCCATTTTATGAGTTGGTTCTTTGACATTTTGTGTAAGATTAAGTGCATCTAGTAATTCCTTAAAACTTTTGCTATATAGTCCTTTAGTATCTAAGTGTATATTTACATCACCAGCTATAATGTATGAGCAACCTGTTGATACTTTTGTTTCAAGTAAAACCATGAATTCGTCCAGGAATGTTGTGTGAGAAACAAATATTATTCTATATATGCAAATTAGAATTAGTGATCGTTTTGCTACCATAATTTTAACACATACATGTTCAAAGGATTGAAACTGTTTATTTGGTAGTTCTTTGTGCATAATGGATTGTTTTAGCATAATTCCTAGACCGCCACCTTTTACTTTATCTCTTTCTTTTCTTATTTTATGATGCAAAACATATCCATAACTTTTTATCATTGCTGTTGTATTATTGTTTTCAGAAGCCATCCATGTTTCAGTAATAAAAACTATGTCTGGATTCCTATCAAGTATATGCTCCATTACATCTTGAAATTTATTATTAAGAGAACGAACATTCCATAGTGAGCATAATATATGACTCATGTAAGTTCTATCATCCTTCTGGACTAGGCGTTTAAATGATAGCTATCGAGTTTCTCTTGCAAAGTATTCTTTTCTCTTTTAAGAGAAGGACATTAAACATCAAATGCACAGTGAAAGGGATCGTTTTGTCCCTCTAAAACACAGTTAACACATTTTTTATCCAAAGACGAGCATAGATCGGTTCGATATTTTTCGCTACATTTAGCACATATTGGATCGTTTTTCTTGCATTCATTCGCATAATGTACGAAGCTTTGACAGTTAAAACAACGCATTACATTGAGTTTGTCATATATCCTGCAGGATGTTAATCCGAGTGTGACTTTGTTTTTATAACATTGAAAGCCTTCTCGTAATGTTTTGCTTATTTTCGCAAAGACTTGAAACATTGTTGGTTTGCTTTTTATTGGTTTGATAGCTTTTATTTTAAAATGATCTTTGATGTTGTTCACTTTGCTAAATTCTTGGATAAAACTGTTCTGTGAATGTAGCATATTAACAACTTCATTTTCATTATACTCTCTAGGTAAACCACTGATGATAATTTTTTGCATGTTCAATTGATATGATTTTACTTTTATTTGATTTTCCGTATCTTTGAGAGAAATCATCAATTGGTCTTTAAATTCTTCTGAGTTATATACTAGGACAAGATCCCCTTATTATTATACGAATTTTTCAATTGAATATTATTATTCATACCTAGGTTTTCAATTATATCCATGTTATTTTGTTAGTTTTTTCATCAGATATTTTTCCGATAACTAAAAGAGAGTCTGGCGTTGGAGTTTTTACTGTATTTAATCTTTCCTTGTTAAACCATAAATTATCTTTTTCCAATTCGGTGTCACTTGAGTTTTCGTTTAATAGTTGTTTTTTTTCATTGAGCTAAGTTTTGATATCAGTAACATTACATTCTAGAGTGTTCAGTCTCAATGTTTCAGATTTAGATAAATTTATTTCTAGGTTGGTTAGACATACATCACAAAAGAACAGAAAATTTTTCTAAGTTGAAGGGAGAAGGAAATTTGAAACTGTGGTTTTGCTGGCTACTTTACTATGCTATTATTGGTTGAAATACTATACTATTATTGGTTGGTAAGATTTATAAAGTTTGCACTTTCCATGCAGTAAATATTTCTAAACTTAAAGACTCAGGGTTAATGATAAAATACAATTAAAAAATAATAATAATTTGTTTACACAAGTATAAACAAATTATTTTTTACATTCAAGCTTTATGAAAGATAACTTATAAGAACTGAATTGGAAATTGCTCAAATGCTTCAAACCTTATTTTTATGCACTGCTCTGCTTAAATACTGCCATTTTCAAGTAAAAGATGTATTTTATTTATATTTTATGTATATTATTATATGTATATTAAGTTTTTTATTAAACTTATTTTTTTTGAAAATTAAACTCGTTTTTATTTAAAATAAAATCTTAAATGGATAGGATGACTTGATAAAGCCCAAATGACTCACACTTTTTAAGTATAGACCTGGTTGCTAATGGTTGCAATTTGATTTTCACAGCATGCATATTTCAGAAGTATTTAGTAAAATTAGATAAAATATTTTCGATATAAAAATATTTAATATCATAAATATTTTATGATATAAAATATTTATTATTTATCATATTGTGAATAATATACCAAAATAAAAAAAAATAAAAAAAGTTAAAAAAATATTGAATTTAGGTACTTTTAGCTGTTGTAAATCATATTCAACTGTTTGCTTCCGAAGTAGTGCTGTGCTTGTTTTAACACCAGCACGAAACATTTCACATTCACCTGTTTCATCGCCACAATATCCTAGAAAACCAACTTTTATTCCATTTATTTCTTTTATCAGTGGTTTCTTCACATATAAAATTAAATGACAAACATGATTTATACTTTACTCATCTAATAAATAAATTACAAATAACTTATAGAGATAACAACTGAGAGATAACAATTATGAGATAACAACTAAGAGATAACAACTAAGAGATAACAACTAAGAGATAACAACTAAGAGATAACAACTAAGAGACAACAACTAAGCAAGATATAAATAAGCTTAAGAGTAATTATATGTTCATGGATAAAATGCTTAAAAGCATATACCTGGGCCATACCTGAGGAGAGTAAGGTGGGCTTTCACCATAAGTTATTCCAACATAATCAATCTTGTTATAAAAAAGAATTTTTGTTGTCAGGTCAACAGAGTCACCACCATAGTCACTAATATGATTATTAGCTAATGTAACTGATTTTATACCAGCAGATGTTAATGCCTCAACACTTTCGGGCCAAGCTTTGTTGTGAATTCCTGTCAGAAAAAGTTATATGTTTACTTGAATGAATTCCTATCAGAAAAAAGTTACTTGAATAAATTCCTATCAGAAAAAAGTTACTTGAATGAATTCTTATAAGAAAAAAAGTTGTTTACTTAAATTATCTAAGTGTTAATAAATTTTTTTAAATTTTTGATAAAATAATAAAAAAAATAAAACTATTTTTAAATTTTTAAAAATTTAAAAATTTTCATTGTTTTAACTACTTAATATTTAGCAATTTTTAACATTATCAATTTTTTTTTTTAATGTTAATTTACCTCTGCAAAGCTGAAAAGGCCACTATAGTTGAGGAGGCTACTTTAGTTGTGGTTAAAACCCTCTGTCAAAAAATACAAACCTTGACAAACAAGGCCTCTGGGTGAAGAGACAAGTTGAATGTGGCACTACAAGGGATGTGGTGGGGCTCAAACTCGGAATATTTCTGCTGGGTGGAGAAACAAGTTGAATGTGGTACTACAAGAAATGTGGTGGGGTTCAAACTCAGAACTTTTCGTTTATGAGGCAAGCACTCTACCACTACACCATTGCAACATAAAATTTAAAGAATCATTGTTGTCATTATAAATTCCCAACTTTGAACAATTCAAAAGATTTAAAATTCAGCCTAAAATGCCACATTTTTGTTTTCCATTATAGATTTTGTAGTGGTACTTTTTAATGAATAATAATAATAGTAATAATAATCAATATATGGGGTTGCTCAAATATTTTGAGACAAGGCTAGGGGAAAATTTTAGAAGAAAATTATTTAAATACTTTTAATGTGCGAAATTACTTATGGTAATTGCACACATAAAAAGAAATTCTGATCCTATATAGTATAGTAAATATAGAATAACTAGATAGTGGCAAAAAGCAATTTATTTTACTATCAAAAGTCATATTTATTTTTTTAATGGTATTTATATAAATAATAATTATGACTAATAATTTATGTTATTATTATTATTATTACTTTTCATATTTTGTTTCTATTCTCTATTGCAATTAATTGGTCTAATTACTTTAGTTACGTTATTTTATTTTATATTTTTATTATTCATTATATTGTTTATTTATGATGTTAATGAATTTAAGTATTATTAATGCTATTGACAATATTATTTTTACTATTTACTTTTTTTATCAAATGGGTTGTTAGGAAAACAAATAACCCATAAATAAGTAGAACTATTTAGATTCTTTTTAAAATAAATTTAAAGTGGTTAGCTTTTCATTAGTTTCATGTCTAATATAAAATATTTTCTATAGATAATGCCTTCAATACTTAATTGAGTATGAGCTCAATTTCAAACTATGTTTTGGAACAACAAAGTTGTTCTCTGAGAATCTTGTAGTGAATTTTTTATAGATAACACTAAAATAGGATTCAAATGATTTTTGGCATTCCTAATTTAGTTCTATACATAAAGACTAAAACTTAATGTAAATTGATTTTACAAATATTTTATGCTCCAAGTAAACATAGGAGAGGTTTGCAAGGTTCTTCTCTCTAAGCACCAATTGGGCTTTTATTCCAAATAAGCAATTTGACATGTTTATGTTTATGGTAAAGCATTTTTAGTTTTGTATAGTTGGTATTTTTTAATTGCAATATTACAGTATGTTAAGTAAATAAAACTTTTAAGTGATTTAAAACTAAGAAATGGTGTATAAACCATTCCAACATTTTCAAAGAATTTTTACTAATTCTATACTATATCTTGCCACTATTGAATTAATGAAACAACACAAAACAGTATTAGATTATTGAATAAGATTCAAAAAGTTAAACCTCATTGACTAGTTGCTCAAAGTCTAAAATCTGAACTCATATCTGCTGCTTTTTAAATTTTAACAAAGGAAAAATTGAGTAGTATAATCAGGATGATGTATCTCTGACCTCAACTGGCTTTCAATAATTATTGAACATGGAACTCAAATATGCGGTATTTATGCGGTAGTGGTGTAGTGGTAGTGTAGAGTTTAGAGCGCTTGCTTCATAAACGAGTGGTTTTGAGTACGATCCCCACCACGTCCCTGGTAGCACCGCGCTCAACTCGTTTCTCCGCGCAGCGGCCTTGTTCGTCAAGGTTCGTGTTTCGGAGTTATAGAGTTGAGAGAGGGTTATAGCCACAAATAAGAGCCTCCTCGTCTGTAGTGGCCTTCTCGGCCTTGAGGAGGTGAATTAAAATAAAAAATAAAATTAAAAAAAAAACTTGAAGGTCAAAGTCCAATTTAGGAACATATTTAGGACTTAAAATATCAATTGTATTTATTTTAAAAGATGCACTGTTACTATTAAAAAAATACTTATGAAAATTCTGAACTTTTATCTTTGTTGTATCACACAAAAATGGGAGGTTTCTTAAAAAACACCAGAAAAATGTTACATAAAGGAAGGAAAGGAGAGGAGGGAGGATGTTACATAAATAAAGGAGAGGAGGATTTCTGAAAATGCCTGAAAAAGTGTTCTAGCAGAAGAAGCTGAAACCTTGACCATTTTTGAAAGTGCTAAATACAAGAGAAACAGACCCTTTAATTCTTTCAAGATCTACTCGAGAGAATTACTAAAGCGAATGAACTTCTATCTAGTATATAAATAGCGGATTTGCCAGGGATTCACTGGGATTTAAGTGGTATCCCAAATGTCAGCAACACAGATATCAATTCAAACAATTTTATTGACATCCTGGCCAAGTTGTTTCTTACACAATTCTCCCACTTTTTAACTTTATGAAATTAAAGCAAACAACATTCTTGATCTAATTATAGCCGAACATTGAAATCGAGTTCTCAAAGTTATTCATCATGCACCTCTAAAATCTGAAATCTCACTACATCCTTCAATGGGATTAGGTGGTTAAAAGTGCCACAGTAGTAGATAAACCGGTTGAAAAATGCATATCACAAAAGTAAGTTTGTAAAAATATCAGAATACTTCAACAATATTGACTGGCAGATGAAATTCAATGGACGCAATACTAATGACTGTTATAACATTTTCTCGAACCACTACAAAGCTGCATGCAAAACTAATGTCCCAGTGACCAAATCAAAATGGATTTGTCGAGGAAGGAAATGGATAAATAAATACATCAAGAATAAAGTGAAAGCTAAAAATAAACTATGGTTTTGATATAGAGCAAGTGGGTATAATAACCTTCAAATAGTCAAGGAATACAAAGTGTGTAATAAGTTTGAATTTGACTTGGCTATAAAATCAAAGCACAATCCAAAGATTCAGTTCAAGTATGTGAATAGCAAGCATAATGTTAAAATCACCAAAACTGCTTTAAATAAAATCAATGGCGACATTATCACAAATCTAATAGACATTGCAAATCAGCTTAACAATCACTGTCAAAGTGTTTTCAATAGAAATGAAATTAACCCAGGAAATTACCAGCCAATATCTTTAACATCAATTGGATGTAAAGTGATGGAGAAAATATTATGTAACAGTATGGTCAATCATTTAATCAAGTAACATGAATTTATTAGTAAAAAAAACATGTGACTAACTTATTGAAGTCAATTGACATGATGTCAATAGCATTATCTGACAGGGCATCTATGGATGTAGCATTTATAGATTTCAGTAAAGCATTCAATATAGTTCCACACATCTATTTATTCACAAACTTAAGGCATATGGTTTTGCTGGAACATGATTCTACAAATGTAGAATCATGTACATAGGTAAAACTCAATGCCAGCTAATAACAATAGTGTAATAGTGTGGAGCTTGCATCAATTTTAGTCAAGCGTGATGTGGCATCATGATCACGCCAGATTTAAAATGGCTTTATAACTCAACCTGTGCAATCAATAAAGCCAACCGTATTCAAGGCATGTTGTATGGTTAATTTAGCCACATGACTCCACAACTTCTTAATATTCTATACAAAACGTTTATATGCCCTCATCTAGAATTCGTGGTAGCAGCTAGCAATCAATCTTTAAAAATGGATATTGACAAAATTGAGAAAGTACTAAGACGAGCAAGCCATTTAATACCTTCATACCATCGACTATTATACAAAGATTGTTTGACTATTAGATTAACTTCTTTAGAAACATGTCAAATTAGAGGAGATCTGATATAAGTGTATAAAATTGTTAACAAGATAGACATTGTTTCATAGAGTAAACTACATTTTTTTTGTGTTGGGGTGGCAAATCCAATAAAAACTAGAGGATATCACCTAAAATTGATGAGAGATTATGCACAAAATTACGAGCAAAGGCATCAGTTTTTAGAAACTCAGTAATAAATCATTGGAACACATTGCCATCAGACATTGTATGCGCTATATCTGTTAAGAGTTTCAAAGCTAAGCTGTCATGAAGTTTAATTTTTTTTTTTAAAGTGAAGATATTGATATAAAATATGGTTTTGGTCTTTTAATAAAAATATGATAAATAATAAGCATAAAAAAGATATGCTATTTTAAATTTTGACAATACCCTAAATTTTACAACTTTTTTAATCATTTTTTTTCTATTGAAAAAAAAAAAAGATTTAAAATTGATAACTGATTATATTTGAAAAAGCTGAATCAAAATATAAAAAGAAAACAACTAAAATAGTCATAACAAATTGTAATGAAACATCATTACAATAGCAAGGTATTTGATTATTCCAGATATTATAGTCTTCAAGTTTAAGTTAATTTAAGCTATTTTATCTTTAAGATGTTTAATTACTAATTTAAAAACTAATTTAAGCTGTATGAATTTCAGACCTCAGTGACTTCAGGGCGTCAGCGCACTGGTTGACAGTGGATGACAACGCAAATATAGTTTTATGACATCAGTTGTTAGGGAAGAGCGGGGTCATGCAGGTTGGTTGTCAAAATGCTTATATTAAAAAAAAATATAAAAGATGTGAAACTTTTGAATCACTTGTTTAATAAACATTGGCAATGTTTACCTGCCCACTTGATTTCAAGTTGATCAGACAAATAAAAAAAAGAGTTATAGAAAATAT